AACTTTAGAAAAAATGAAAGTAAATATTTCACTGTCTTAAAATAAATTCATTATATATATATATATATATACACACACAAACCTAAACTATCTCTTTTTTTAAAGTTTCATACACAAATCATCACTCGAAACACACCTCTCTCTTTTACTAAACTCTCTTGATGGTGTGTACTAACTCTCTCTTTTATTTTTTTTAAAAAATTGTCACATGGCACACCACTTGAACAAAACATTCCACCTTGATAAAAATTAATATATTACTCGAATTAGTTAAAAATTAAAGATTAAAGTATCATTATCCCAAAATATAATAATATTTTTTAAAAATAATTTAAAATATTTTTTTACCTCACTCTGCACTAGTGTCGTACCCCCAACACCCCCCCCCCCCTTTTTAACTTTTTAATCTTCTTTCATAAAAATTTTAACAAAAATTCTTACTTCATCTCAAACCCCTCTCCCCCTCTCCTTTCAAAACAAAATTTAGATGTTATTTTTATTCTTTTTAAAAGTTCCTACCCCACCCCACCTAATCCTCCGTCTCAATTTTTTTTTTTTCATTTTTCTCATTTCGTTTTAGATATGTACATATGTTTTTAGGAAAGTATTTTCTTTCAACAAGGTTTTTCTAAAATAAAATTTTCGTTTTTATTACATTCCGTACGCAAGTAAAAAAAAATCCTAAAAACATATGTATTTATATCTAACAGAAAACAAGAAAAATATATAAAAATTAGCTAAGAAAAATTGGGAAGGAGTGGGTAGGTTTTTTTGTGTGTGTTGGGGGTGAAGTAAGATTCGTTTAATTGTTTTAATTTTTTTTAAAAAAATAATTTATTTTTGGAGATAGTGATCTTTAACTTTTAACTAATACTAATAGTTTATTTAATTTTTGTTAAGGTGAAATATTTCGTCCATGTGGAATGTCATGTGACAAGGTTTTTTTAAAAATAAAATAAAACATCGTGTATTACACAAACCCACTGAGGTGTATTTATGAAACTAATGAATAATAGTATAAGTATTAAACTCACACTCTCAATAGTTTAGGTATGAAATTAAAAAAGGATATAGTTAAGGCCCTATTTATTTCTATCAAGATTAAGATGTCTGAATCTAAATAAGCGTCTAAATCTAAATAAGCATATGAATATTAAGATGTGTATTAAGATCAGAATACACATTTGAATATTCAGATATGCTCTCTAGATCTGAACACTAAATAAGTAAGACAGTTTCTTTTCAATAGCTGAATTTTCATATCTAATTAAACTTTATATAAAATAAATAGTATAAAAAATTCATTTCAACAACAAAATATTAATTTTTGATTAAAAAAAAACAACTTTTAAATGTTTATATTAAAAAATTAAATTATGTATCAATATAAAAAGTATTGTTACGTGATTTTTTTAAGAGTTCTACATAAACAATTTTTTTATAATGAGAAAAAATATCACTAATAAAAATTATATGCATAATATTGTAATGACCTCAGGTCATTTTTGTGTTTATGCCTCCTATTTATCATTTAGAGCTTTCCTGTAGCGATACAAAGTCATTTATGACTTGCTGGAACTGAGAGTTCGGTCACCTGGTCATTTATTTGATTTTTATGCAAGTTTTAATATTTTGGAGCTTTTGAACCTTGAATGGTCATTTTTATCAGAAGATAAAAAAGATGACCTTAGAATCCCATTATGATGATTCCATCAGCTCCAGAAGGGTCATTTTAGGCTAGTTATATAGTTGGCACGACTCCCGAGGCTTTCAGTGGGAGTCTGTGCGATTAGGCGTTTTAACTTTCAAGTTGAGGCCTACATTTGGCTTTAGTCAACATTTCCGAGTAAACGAAATGGGATGAGAATTTGGTTAGCGTGGTTAGCTCCGAAACGTTGAGTTTGGTCTAGAACAACCCTTCGTTTAGGTCCCGAGGCTTCCAAGCTGATTTCGAGACTTTTCGTGAATTTTGGCTTAAAATGGAAATTGGGTAAAGGACCTACTTTTTATTGAAACGAGCTCGGATAAAAGTTTCGATGGTTTCGTTGAGTCCATAATACCGAATCTGACGGGGTAGCAAGTTCTATTGAGTGCACGAGATTCTAAATGAGTCTCGGACACCCCGTCGAAGTTTTGGAGGCCTTGCACTTTGCTGTCAGCTGAGGCCCTCACGTTTGCAAACAGCTGGCGTGCGCATTCATGTGCAGGTGGCTGCATTCGCGAGTGTCCGGCTGGCCTCGCGGTCATGAAGGCCACCAACCTGGCCTCCTTATTTAAAGTAGCGACCAGCCTTGGTATGATTGTGATTTCTCCTTTGTTTTAGCTCCAGTTTTTGTGATTTGAATTCCCACACTCTTGTAATTGGTGGGGCTATGTGGTACAATGATTGGATTGTGTTGGTGACACTTCATTATATGCAAATTTGGCGCAAAAGTTGTTCTCCTTCTCTTTTAAATTTGGTTTTCGTTGTGTGTTGTTGTTTACGCTGTTTTAGGCAACAAATTGTATCCTATTTTGGGACACAAGTTCAAGGAATAGTTCAGGACTTTTTGACGAAGAAAAATCCTAAATTTTCAACACAGATCCCACGATTCCTGTTTGACTTTAAAAATTAGTTCGTCTTTGTTTTGGATGATTTTAGTTTCTCTATGACCGTATTGACGTTGCGATCATATTCTTGATAGCGTGACAACATAGAGGTTGTTCGGAAAGGAAAGGCTCTGGCCTTATGATTTAGAATGCGAGTGTTCGACCTATAGGTACGCTACGACTTCTTTTCTAATTAGATTGAGTATGAATATATAAATTCATGATGATTAGTGTGAATTGATGGCAGGTACCTAGTTATTCTTAGTTTTCTCTTATAAAACACGATTTACGATGATCACTACTATTCTGAGGGTAGTACCATAATTAGCTAGGGTTGTACGTGTGTTGTTGCATGTTATGTGATCTACTTGTTTTATTATGTGTTTCTTGAAGCATATTTGGCCTTAGTCAAGGATAGACTAGTGTGGCCTTAGACTTGTGAACTTTGTGACTTCGGTATGTCTCCGACATCATTTGGATGGACTAGGTCCTTGTAGACTGGAATAGAAAAATTGAGTCTGATAGTATGAGGCTTAGTTTAGGCATTTGCGCGGCTTGTTGGTCCTTCTGTCTTGCTCCCCTACTTCTATGACTTCAATGTGTTCTGGAGGTTGTGTGCTTTCTCGGGATTGGAGCACTTCAGGCTTGTAGCCTTTTGTGATGTCTTTGAGAGTGGACGTCGATCCACGGTGGCTTGGAGCCTACCTGAGATCCTTTTCAGAGTCGATAAGCAATCAGACACTCTTACTAGATGGGCGGATGCCCTTGGGAGTTGACTGGCTTGCTAGGCGGCCTGGATATCTGAAATTCTCTTAGAATTGACACTCCCTCGTATCACTCATGCTAGTTGGGAGGATTACGCCCCTGGAAGTGGATTGTCTGGCTGGGCGACCTGGGTTGATTGTCACTCGAGAAATCGAGTCGTGACAAATATAATATCAAAAAGTTCAACAAGTATGATAGATTCAATTCGAAAAATAATAAGGAAAGTTTTACATCATCAATGTGTGACATATTTTCTAGATAATTAGAAAAATTAAATATCTGATAGTTTTTTTTCGATGATTTTAATTCAATTCTCTAACTTGTTAACCTCTAGGATCATTCATGATTTTTTTGTAGCTGTCACTTTCACAAAATATACTAACAACTATATTGTATAACGGTTCTTCCCATCCAAGTTCATCTAATTATTTTTTTACGTTCTTCAAAATTAGGTGTACTATTTTTTAATCAATAACTCCAAAACAATACTCATCTTCTCATCAATTTCCAATTGAGACGAAGATATTTTATTTTTTTCTCCAAAACTTTTCTTTCAGTTGCAACTGAAGATTGAGATAAAGAATTATTAGTAGATAGAGAAGAGATACCAGGACGGGATAGGTACAACTTGGACTCCAACCATGAACTCTTATTGTAGTAGAAACTTCAAAAAGTTTTGTACACAAATCTGAAAAAAGGTAGAGGTGAAGTGTTCAATGTCTTTGCTTTTGGATATTTTAAATAGGAACATCAAACCTTTTTTTGTAGTAAAATAAAAAAAATTATTTAATAATACTAACCTTTATGTACACGTCTCACTCATTACTAGGCATCAGAATAGTGTAATCACAATAATAAATCTAGGTAATCTCACAAACGGTTTGATGATCAAAGTGTCTCGATAAAATTAATGGCCTAAAACAAAAATTTTGTAAGAGACCTCAAATATGTATACATAATTGTTGTTTTTTAATCAGTAATACTATTTTCACTCAAAAACCTTGAATTTCTTGATATACATCAATACGCCCAAAAATACTATTGCAACAAGAGTTTTTGACAAAAAATATTATACCAATCTTTTTTTTTTTGAGTTAATATAAAAAAATACTTATAAAGATTATGAAAACTTATCAATTCAAGAGGAAAAAAAATGATATTTGGTTGAGAAAAAAGAAAAAGAAATTTGTAGAGAGAGAGCAAGCCGTGCAAAGAGGGGAATGATAGGCGACGTGATTTTTATAATGTACTAAATAAATCTAAGTATCGTTAAGAATTTCCTACAAATTGAATTCATTCAAATCTTTTCAGATCCATTCTTAAACCTTTTTTTTTTAAAAAAAAAACAAATGGACTCATAATGGACTGGTTGGTCCGCACCCAAGTATAGTAGTAGGGTGAAGCAAAAAAAAAGGGAAATGAGGAAATAAAATTAGAAAGAGAATGAAATGCAAGTTTTTGGGCATTAAATATCTCGTACATACATTTCCTTGCTTTAGGCTTTGCTTCAATATCAACTTTGTATTACGACATTCGCTCTCTATCTAATATCTATGTTTGTTGATTGAAACAGTTACTTTCCTCTTCCTCTATCAGATTTGGTTGATATTAACATTAGCTTTTCCCCAGAAAACAATTGGAATTACAATGTTGTGTAAAACGTCATTGCCATTTTGTCTTGTAACTGCTTTCTTCATTTTGTCTTGTGTCACCCTTGCCCTGGCAGGATCTGACTTTGATTTTCCTTCCTTTCAAACTACATCCATTTCAGGTATTCTAAGATTGCACTTTCCTTCTTTATTTCTTTTTTCTGTTTGTGCTGATAAATGGGTTGTTTCCTTTTAAGGTGAAATTAGGAATGAAAATGATGTGTTGGTTTCATGGGGGACAAAAAGGTTGCTTACTGAAGATGAACCTCCATTGAACTCATCACTTATCTTGGCTGCTAAGAGAACATATAGAAAAGATCCTCTTAACAATTTCAATAGATATACTGGAGGCTGGAATATCAGTAACCGCCATTACTGGGCTGTAAGTATTCAACCTTTTATTTCTAAATCTCTTTTCTAACCCAATTTAAGGAACACAACCTTGCAACTAGTAGTAACATCTCTGTTGCTGTGAAGACAGCATTAATTGCTCTAATTTTGGAATTCACACATAAAATCTCCACCTACTCTGCCCTTGGAATGTAAACTTAAGTTCAAATTTTTCTTTCTCTACAGGAAAAATATACTAGTATTAATTTAGTGATATCAAATCTTTGTTTCAAACTTATTTACAAATCATGGAAGGCTAGTTTGAAAAGTTTTACACCTCTTTTCTTGGGTTGTATAGATAAGAGAAAAGGGAAAAAGAAAAAAAAATGTAAAAATTCTACACTTCTGTATTCAAATATGATTTCAGAACAATAAGATTCTCATTTCGTCTATACTGCTCCAACCAAACTAAGGTCTAAGAAAAAAAAATACTAACTGCTCCATTAACCCTGACCCTTTGATTGACTTTGTGTATTTTTCTTCCATCTTATCATGTTTGCCAAATATATGGAGTCAGACATGAATTTTTTTGCTTTTGGAGCCAAATTGCAGACCATTTCAAGTCGCAGGGTCTTCGTTACTCTAGTCATGACTAAGATTTTGCCTAATTTGGGAATGGTAAAATGGTCCAGGCAATTGTCTTTGGAAAATTTTCTTTCCACTACTCTGACGAGTGTCATGAGTTATATTACCACCATAATTTTCTATGATGGACTACATGACTTGTAATGGAGGTTCTCATTTGGTCTCCAGAATGCAGATACTTTACCTGAAATTGGACAGTAATTTGATATATGTCACAAGATTCTATAAACCAGCAGCAGAGAGATTGCTATCTAGTATCATTCTCGTCCTGATACATTTCAACGATTAAAGTCATTATCATTTGATTGATCAGAGAGAAGTATGTAGTTGCATCTCCGAAAAGAGATGCTCTTCAGTGACTTGAACTTTAGTTTTGCTTATCAGTATTCAGTATGATTAAAGATTTAGTCCATGCTCAATGATGCTATATAAGGTGTTATGTGACAACTTAAAATTGCATTTGTGTCAACAAAATTCATGCAGAGAGCAAATTTTCGTATTGCAAATGTTTCATCACCTTTTATAAATGGGATTCCAATCTTTACTTTCGACAAATAAAATCTTGTATATGTACTTTAAAAAAGTTGTCAGACAATCTATACTTGTCTGTGCGTTCTCATTATTCCTTTAGGCAATGAAGTATATACTCGGTTGTCCTCCTTAAAAAAATTATTTGCATACAATCTATGGGTTCAATTGTTTCTTATGTTATATTTGTTTATGTGCAGTCTGTGTCTTTCACTGCAGCTCCATTCTTTGTCGTTGCGCTGATCTGGTTTGTGATCTTCGCGCTGTGCTTGTTGTTCATCTGTCTCTGCTACTGTTGCTGTAGAAGAGTTCCTTATGGCTATTCCCGAACAGCTTATGCTCTGTCCCTCATACTCCTCATACTTTTTACCATTACTGCAGTGTATTCTTTCTCTCTCTCTTTCTCTCTCCACCTAGCATATACAAATTCTTATGGCTGTGTACACAAAATTGATATCTGCTCTTGCATTACGGATACTGCCACTTTGCTCAACTGCTCACTCGCAAATATACACGTCACATTCCCGTTCTCTCTATTCTGATGTGTCCATTTTGTAACTTGCATATTTTGTTCCTTGTGCAGTGTTGGATGTATCATTTTGTACATTGGACAGGGAAAGTTTCACAGCAGTACAGTTAACACGTTGGATTATGTGGTTCATCAGGCAAATACCACCGCTGACAGTCTCAGAAACGTCTCAGGTTATCTAGCTGCAGCCAAACTTATTGCTGTGGATCAAGTTTTGCTTCCTGGATCAGTCCAAACAGACATAGACCGCATCCAAACCAAAATTAATTCTTCTGCTAATACCCTTGCCAGTAAAACAGAAGACAATAAAGATGACATAGCTGGTTTGGTAGAGTCTGTGTAAGTGAATGTCATTACAAGCTTGTTCTTTGCAATTTATATCTGTAGAACTTACACAATTGAATCGAGTTCTCGTACTTCTATGGGTCTGCCTTATGGATCAACTTTGTCCTTTCTTCTATTCAAAACTATTTAAGTTCATCTATTCAAAGCATTTATTTTGCGGGTCATGTCTTTAAAGTAAGGTTATAAAGTGGTGGTTAGACCAACTATGATGTATGAGGTGGAGTGTTGTCCGATCAAGAACTCACACGTCAAGAAGATGCAAGTAGCAGAAATAAGAATGTTGAGATGGATGTAGGAGAGATAGGATCAGAAAGCTTGTTTCTGGGACAAGGTAGGAGTGACCTTCATGGTGGACAAGATGAGGGAGGCTACATTGAGAAGGTTTGGGCATGTGAGTAGAAGATGCATAGATGTCCCAGTGGGGAGCTATAAGAGGTTGGCTATAGTGGATATAAGAAGAGGTAGAGGTAGGCCGAAGAAGTTTTGAGGAGAGATGATTAAACAAGACATGGCACTTCTACAACTTATTGAGAACATGACCCTAGATAGGAATATATGAATGTCGAGTATTAGGGTAGAAGGTTAGTAGGTAGTTGAGCGTGCCTTTTAAATGTTATTAGTATTACTCTCCTACTAGCGTATTCTTCGATTTTAATATTACATTTTCCTTTGCTTCAGTAATCGTATTATTGGTTGTTGGTATAATTCTCTTCTTCATTGTTTTTACTTTACATACTTGTTGTTTGTGATGCTTTACTTGAGCTGAGGGTTTATTGGAAACAACCTCTCTACCTTCACAAGGGAGACGTAAGGCTGTGCACACCTCCCTCCCCAAACCCTACTTGTGGGATTTCACCGGGTTTGTTGTTGTCTTTAAATCTTGTGTATGATAGTTTTAGCTTGTCAACTTCTTTTGTGTTTCATCTTTGTTCTTTCCATTTGAATAGTTCTAACTCAGCAATCTGAGAGATACTTTGCTATGTTCTTGCTTATCTAGTTGCACTTCAATCCACCAAACACACATATTCCTTTGCTGTTTTGTATTCTAAAATGCCAGTGGTAATAATTATGCAGGAGATTGGCTCTTATTATTCTATCAGCCATCATGCTTCTTTTGACATTTCTGGGATTTGGTAAGGTGACCATTGCATTAGAATTCTGAGTGTAATAATTAATTTGTACTAATAAATTTTCTCTGTTTTCTTTTCTCCTTCCAGTACTTTCAATTTTCGGGATGCAGGCTTTCGTTTATATGTAAGTGAACATTTTATATTACTAGGATGTTCTTTCTTTCTTGTACTTTGTTCCCTTGGCTCTGCTCTTCTGTTTAAACGTATGTTCTCTTGTTCTATTTTGTGCAGCTTGGTGATATTTGGATGGATTCTTGTCACCGGGACTTTAATTTTGTGTGGCATATTTCTTGTTCTCCACAAGTAAGTCCTGTTCTGTATTTTACTTCTCACCATGTGCTGTTGTTCTAAGTTAGTAAGAACTAGACACGTTTTTTCTTGTGTATGGAAAATCTTCTCATTGTGGGTTCAGCTTCAAGTGATTGGTTCTGCTGTTTTATCCCTGAAAGTATATCCAAAGTTATCTTCAATGTGATGTTAGATTCAGCTTAGTTCTGCATTTCTGCAGCCATCATCAACATAAAACTGCTGGTCTCAGCTGAGGCTAGCCAGCTAGGCTTTAGATATTATTGTTTGAAGTTGAATTAATATCCTCATGAATGATGATGTGGCCGAGAAAGTGTGTTCAAATTCTTGAAAGAGCTTGAGAGACATAAAAAGTGCTGAAAGCTGATTAAATTGTTGAGGTGCCAATCTTCAATTGGTTTTCTTTTTCACTTTCTTCTTTGTTTTCCTTCTGTTCTCTTTCACTTCTTTGTTCTGTTAGACCCACCAAATTTCCACCATGTCCACCATGTCCATTTTCATGCTGAGAAGCCACAGAACTAGCAAGAATCAATTTTATCTGTACTATGTTTTTTGTATTTCCCTTTTTTTTTGGGTCTATTTTTCTTTTTTGTTTTCATCAGAACCACCAAACTTCCACCACGGCTAGTGCCACCATTTCTGTTTTTTTAGGCAGAGAAGCTCACCATCCTGAAAGGTATGAAATACTCATAGAAGTAAAGCCAATAGAGAAAACAATCCAACACCAGTTTTTACAACTTCCATCCGGGAATTACTCCAGTAAAATACACTGATTCGAGAGCCAACAACTTAGAATCTGCTACAGCTGTTAATTTCTATCATATGCTGGATTTTCTGGTTGGAAATATCTATTGCCTGTTGAAATTGAAAATTGTGATTTACTTAGTAATTAAGTACCGAAATGGGCCCAAAAACAAATTTGATGAATGAAACCTATTATGTTTGTACTTTAAATCTGCCATTGTCTTGTATTTTAATCTATTTCCTTAAGGGTGTGCATGAGTTTTCTGAATTATTATAGATGTGATGTATTATTGGCTAAAATGATTTAATGGAATAAGATGAACTTTCTTATGCTTTCCATTCTTAGAATTAGGTGGCTTATTCTGTGTGGTGTAGCATGTATTAGGTGTTCTGATCAGTTTTTTTACCTGTTGGTCGAAAAACCTGGGATTTCCTATGAAGATTGGGGAGAGAATGGAGAAAAAAGAGGAGAGAGGAGAGGAGAGGAGAGGAGGTAACAGAACTAGGGAGGGTTTGACTAACAAAAAGAGAAAATATGAAAAAGGTTCAAATGACACATATCGTGTGTGTATACAAGTCTAGGACAAAATCTGGTTGTGTCATTTTAGGGAGATATTAATTCCACTTCAAACAAGAATTGTGGGGTGGGTGGGTGGGAGTAAAAAAGGTAGCCCGTAAAGTTAAAAGTGTGTAAATGACTTTTTCTGGACAACTACAAGGTGCAACTTATGTATTTTTCCTTTGATTGAATCATTTTAGATGCCTGTTTTGGTTATACTTCTAGCTGGTGCTTCTTGATACCCACTCTGGTCATAATTACTAAAATAGTACTCCCTCCGTTTCAAAAAGAGTTGCCTAATTTGACTTGGCACGAAGTTTAAAAAAATAAAGAAGACCTTTGAATCTTGTGGTCCTAAATTAAAGTTATGTCAAATGTACAAAATTACCCTTTAATCTTGTAGCCTTAAACATGCCACGTGGAAAGCTAAAATTAAAATGTTACCAAAAAATAAAAGAGGTCATTCTTTTTTAAACAGACTAAAAAGGAAAGTAGGTCATTCTTTTTGAAACAGATGGAGTACTAAAATTGTCGAGCATTGACTGCTGGGAGTCTCATTATTGAGTGATCAACATGTGTAGAGATTTGAAACTCTCTTATCTGTTGGGAATTTGTGTCTTCCCTGTTTACTGGGAGCCTCTAAGTCACATCTTTGTCCGTTCCTTATTAATGTCAGTCTTGATTTATAAATGTAGTTTGTGAAACATGTCTAATTGTTTTGTGTTTGATATGTCAGTGTGACTGCAGACTCTTGTGTAGCAATGAATCAATGGGTCCAACACCCTCTTGCTCATACTGCTTTAGATGATATCTTGCCGTGTGTGGACAATGCCACTGCACAAGAGACCCTTACAAAAAGCAAAGAAGTCACTTCTAAGCTGGTCGATGTTGTTAACCAGGTCATTACTAATATTTCCAATAACAACTTCTCCCCCAGCTTTCGTCCTTTGTACTACAATCAGTCTGGACCAAAACTGCCAATCCTTTGCAATCCGTTTTACTCGGATTTGACTGATAGATCCTGTAGCCCTGGTGAAGTGGACTTGAGCAATGCTACAAAGGTACATATATGAAAACTTCTTCCTGAAAAGTTGAAATTACTTCAAAACATATTTCTCTCTATCCCCCACATGTAATACTTTTGAAGGAGTTGCCTCAAATTCCTTTGCTAAAATAGAGAGTTATTACAACCTTTTAAAGTTTTTCTATCATGCAGGTATGGGATAATTATGTCTGTCAAGTTTCCCCTAGTGGCATTTGTTCCACAACTGGCCGTCTGACTCCGGTCATCTACGGCCAGATGGCAGCTGCTGTAAATGTGAGCTTTGGATTGTACCATTATGGTCCTTTCCTGGTTGATCTAGAAGATTGTGATTTTGTTAGACAAACATTTGGAGATATATATAGCATATACTGCCCCGGACTTCAGCGTTATAGCAAATGGGTTTACATTGGACTGGTGATGGTTGGTTTAGCAGTATTGCTTTCCCTTACATTCTGGGTCATATATGGGAGAGAAAGGCGACACCGCGTGTATACAAAAGAACACATGCCCAAACCAGCTGAAGGGTAAAGCGATTTACGAGTAGTCTGCTTTGCTATTTGTAATGCTAGCTAGAGGTGTGTTGTTGTGTATCAAGTTTTCTGTATATACTGATGAGTGATGCCTGTTGATAGAGCTTATAGTTATATTGTATTATTAGGTTCCATTCCTCGGGGTTGAACTACATTATGTACTGTACAGATGGTATCAGTTTTATCTTGATGTTATTATGCCATCTATGGGATGTGTAAAAACTTACCGTCACTCAGTGTGTACCAAATAAATTGATGAATGACATATGTTTGCACATGAACACCTAATGATTAATTACTAAAATATATATACACCTTACTAAATCACGTAATCATTGTAAGCTGATATCATTGGCATTTGGCAAGTATTGTTGTCATTCTTCAAAATAGTTAAGTCAATACAGAACTAGCAATGTCACCGAGCCTGCAAAGGTTAACAAGCCAAACTCTTACAACAAAGTACAAACACTACCCGAATAGGGAAATGGATTAAAATTCCCCCTTGAATTTGTCTCAAAAAGTCGGTTACACACTTAAACTATCATAATGACCTATTACACACCTATACTACTCAAAAGTGAATTTTCTTACCCACTAAAACTAACGTGGCAAAAAAAATAAAACAAAAATAAAAAATAGGTGCGACAGTTTGATATTAAAGTAAAAAAGAAGAAGTTAGAATCCTCTTTTCCACCCCCACACCCCACACTTCTTCTTCACACCCCACCCACTGTCCTCCTCTTCTTCATTCTTTATTCTCATCACACTTCTTTAAAAAAAATTTATCACAATCTTAAAGCACAATTTTTCTTTGATTCGCAGTTAGGTTAATTCTTATAGATCTAGAAAAGTTTCGGTTGATTATTTCTATCATTTACATTTTTTTTTACTTTGTTAAAGAATTTTTGGTTGTTAATCAATTTTTGGATTTGGTGGTGATAGATGCTTTATGGGTTTGGTGATGATGGGTGGCGGGTACAAAAATTAAAAGAGGTAATTGAAGATGATGAAGAAAGAATCGATATTAATAATGGTGGTGGTGATATTTGGTGTTGGGTGACAAAGAAAAAGAAGAATTGAAGGTGATATAGAACAAAATCAATAGTGAAAGTGGTTGGATATGATTTTTTCCGATAAAATGAGTATTTAAATGAGTGAGATTTAGTGATGAAGAGATGTAATTATTAGAGAATTAAAATAATTAATTAGGAATTAATTATAGTAAAATATAGTTAACAAAAGAAAGTTAATAAATTAATAAAAGAAAACAAAAAAATTATAATTTATGACATGGCGGTGATGTAGCGTTGATATGACAGCGTGTGTAATACACCACACAATGTGAGAGTGGTGTTACACATCTCAGGATGGTAATAAATTCACTTTTGAGTAGTAATAATAGGTCATCGTGATAGTTTACGCGTGTAACTGACTTTTCGGGACAAGTTTAGGAGGGAATCTATGCCTTCTCCCAAATAATTATATGTCCATACCCGAATCTAAAGTAATTCAAGAAATACATATTCTCTCATAAATAATTACAGCTCATACCCCCTTCATTAAGGCTGATAATTTTCGCTTAACTGATACTAAATCAGTATCATATATTATATTGGTATCATTAAGGTTGAATAATGAGTAATTTCTGAACAAATCGAGTATAAATTGTAAGAATAATTTCTTACTTATTGCCCAAGTTTACTTGTGACCCAAGTAATACCATAAATAATATTTAATAAAGATTAGATCTCGTCCATACATTGGTTACTTGATGGACGTACCAGATTAAGTCATAACCTCTATAAATTGGTCCTCCCTCCACCCATTAGGGTCACCACATATTCTCTACAATAATTTCATCGCTGACAATTGTGGTAACGTAAAGCTTAGGACAAGGAGGTAGAAACCAATTTACAATTAACGCTTCTGCTTCTCTCTGTGATGATGTCTTCAGGTATGTTCCCCTAACGATCTCTATGTAAGATTATTGTGTTCAATATCCTGATGTGTATTAAAGTATTTAATCTTACCTGTGCATTAGAGCTTGGATTGTTTGAACATATAATCTTCGTATATAAAATAAATAAAAATTATGTATTCATCCACACAAAAACATTGCAATTCTTGAACCACTTCTGCTACACTTTTGTACTCATCCCTTGTCAGCAAAATCCCTCGATTTGTTTGCATATTAATTATGAGAAATTATTTTCTTCGTTAATGTAGTATGTCTCGCCGAGTTACTTATCTTGTTTCTCCTACATTGTGCCTATCATCAGTAAGGTGTTAAGTGCACCATTCTACTGAAGAATTTCCTTCCAATTCTTTCTCCTTGTTTTTGAACAATGTGTGCACGCAAATTAGCATACTCCGCATAAATTCTAGATTTCTCACTTTATAAATCTGCAGAATATGATCTTTGATGAGATACTGTGTAAAAATATGTGAATTTGTATACCATAGAATAATTTTTCCTATAATGTAATAATTATGTTTTATTTTACATTATGTAATAAATTAAAGTGATCACTATATTAAGTAATAAATAATATGTGTGTACTTAGTGCAAAATAGTTTTTTAGTCACCGAAGTGGTCAAACTAGAGAAATTAACGTGTACACATATAATATTTATGATCACTTGATGCATGTTTTATGTTTCTATAGTTTGTAAGTCACCAAAGTGGCCAAACTAAAATGTATAAAATTATTCACAATCACAAAATTTTATTATATTATGTGTGCTTTGTATTTATATAGTTTGTTAGTCACCAAAGTGGTCAAACTAGAAAAATTAACGTCAAATATTTATGATCACTTGATGCATGTATTATGTTTCTATAGTTTGTTAGTCACTAAAGTGGTCAAACTAAAATGTATAAATTAAAATTATTCACATGCACAAAATTTTATGATATTATGTGTGCATTTGCATTTATATAGTTTGTTAGTCACCAAAGTGGCCAAACTAGTATGGTTAAGAAAAATATGTATTCATAAAATTGTCATTAATTATCTATGAAAGTTAATGAAATACCTATATTGAAAATAAATAGATAAATTGACTTTCACTATTGCTAGAACTTAAGAATTTACCCAAAGGTGAATTAATCGTTCTACGAATAGTGAATATTATGAGGTAAATTAATATTTTCAATCAAACATATATTGTATATCCAAAGATGTCGTATATGTTTGGTTAAAAATATTTAATTGCCTATCAAATATTTTAAAAATGGCGTTTAAATTATGATAGTGTGTCGTAGTATCTACCCAAAGGAGAATTACGATGTATTTTTATCGTTTTATTAAATTCACATTATTTTCTAATTTGTGAGCATGTATATCTATTTGCAGTCATTCCTCTTCATTCACATGCTTTGTTTGTTAATGTGTTCAATGGATTGAACTTCTCTAAATGTCATGAACAAGTCTAATTCCACTTAAGTGTGATGGATCTTGACTTGACTCTACTGAATGACAAACTTATTGTCATTACTTATAAGAGCAGTGAGGATGAGAAGTCTTTTCATAAATTACGGGAGCTCTCTAACATATTGAGTCTTATGTTCATGTGAATGATTGTTGCTACCAACATTAAGAGTACTATTCCACAAACAAAAAGTGCCAGGGAATACATGAAGTTTGTGGAAGAACATTTTCGTTCGGCTGGTAAGTCTCTCGCTGGTACACTAATGGTTGAACTCACGACCATGAAGTTTGATGGATCGCGTAGTATGAAAAATCATATCATCGATATGACTAACATTGCAGCAAGACTTCGGACCTTGGGGATGAAAGTGGATGACACCTTCTTGGTTCAGTTTATTCTGAACTCGTTGTCTCGTGAGTATGGACCATTTCAATTAACTATAACACTATTAATGATAAGTGGGATGTTAGTGAATTGTCCAGTATGCTTACTCAAGAGGAGTCCAGACTTAAGAAACAAGGAGGTCATTCCATTAACCTCATGGGTCAAGGAGCTGGTAAAGGATTTGAAGGCCAACAAGTTTAAGAAAAAGAAAGCACCTGCTAAAGTTCCATAGGATGCACAGAAGAAACTCAAGGCTGATGTGTGTCGTTTTTGTAAAAAGGAAGGATAATATGAGAAAGATTGCCAGAAACGTAAAGCTTGGTTTGAAAAGAAAGGTACATTTAGTGCTTTTGTATGTTTCAAATCAAATTTAGTTGAAGTTTCTAATAATACTTGATGTCTTGATTCTAGTACAACTACTCACGTATCCATTATGTTGCAGGGATTCACTACGATCCAAACTACAAATCCAAGTAAGGATTTCTTGTTCATGGAAAATCGCATGAAGGCAAAACTTGAAGGCATAGGGACTTATCAGTTGATCTTGGAGACTGGACATCACCTTGATCTATTACAGACTCTTTATGTTCTTTCAGTTTTTAGGAATTTGATTTCTCTTTCAAGACTTGATGTTTCTGGATTTAATTTTAAGTTTGGACATGAATGTTTCAATTTATATAAGAATACCATTTTATGCTTCTGGTGTTCTTATTGATGGTTTATATAGATTGAAACTCGATAATAATTTTTCTGAATCCCTTCTTACTATTCATCAAAATATTGAATTAAACGTAGTTCACTAAATGAAAATTCTACTTATGTGTGGTATAAACGTTTAGGTCATGTATCCAAAGAAAGATTAAAAAGATTAGTAAAGAAAGGGATTCTTCCGAATCTGAATTTTATTGATCTTGATATATGTTTGAATTATATTAAAGGAAAGCAAACCAAACATACCAAGAAAGGTGCCACAAGGAGCACTCAACTTCTTGAAATTATACACCCTGATATTTGCTAACCCTTTGATGTTCCATCTTTTGGTGAAGAAACATATTTTATTACCTTGATCGATGATTTTTCATGTTATGATTTTTTCTATTTGTAGAAAGAAAAATCTCAAGCAGCGGACACTCTCAAAATGTACGTTAATGAGGTTGAAAGACAATTAGATAGAAAGGTGAAAATCATTAGGTCAAATAGAGGTGGTGAATATTATGGAAAGTATAACGAATCAGGACAATGTCCTGGTACATTTGCAAAATTCCTTGAAGAACATGGAATATGTGCACAATATACTATGTCAGGAACACCTCAACAAAATGGTGTTACAGAAAGGTGTAATCGAACACTTATGGATATGGTTAGGAGTATGATGAGTAATTCCTAATTACCCAAATCA